CGCCTCCTTCCCCTCTGACAGCTGAAAATGTAAATTTATGTTCTTTCTTTATCACAAGGAATTTTACTATTCTAAACCATTTAATTCATGGGTAAATATTATAGTAATTTATTAATTGGAACATGCACAATCACATGCAAAACATTGCTAGTTAAACTGTGAAATATTCACTAGACTTTCTCTGATTTCAGATGTATTGTTTAAAAAATGAGCATCTTTACCAGGCAGGGCTGTTGCAGGGGACGGGCAAAGAAGGTGAAGGGATTTAGAAGTACAAATGGTTGTTTACAGAATCGGCATGGGCATATAAAGTACAGCATAGGGGATATAGTCAATAATATTCTAATAAGTAGGCATGGTGCTAGATGGGTACAGGATTTACAAGGATGATCACATTAAGCTATATAATGTTTGGTCACTAGGGTCTACATACTTACATACATACATACATACATACATACATACATAAATACATACAAAAATCTAGTAAGCACTCTCTATTCATGAAAGTGTGATCCAATGTGCATACCATGCATTCTTCAACTGAATTCTCAAAACAACCTTGTGAACCAAGTGCAACAATTATTCCCATTTTACAGAGAATTGTGGCCTAAAGAGATCGCCCATATTTCCCAAGATCCAGGATCCAGATTTCAAACCAGTAGATGGCTTCAAAGCCTGTGTTATTGCTTCTCAATTCTGGAAAATTGGTGTGAATTTATCACAAAGAACGTATATCAATGATTCTTGCCAATGTTGTGGCAAGAAGAATTGCCATGACAATGGAAATGAGAGTCCTAAGGTATACAAGAGCATTTCCCTTATTGTCAATCTGGACTAAGATTGTAGGTGAATGTTTTTAGAAGCAAAAGTGCCATCTGTGCATGTCCAGGTGTCCACACACACACCTCTATGGACTGTGAGAAAGAGAACTAGAGAGAGGAGAAGATGACAGAAAGGTTTTAAAACATTAAACAAAAATCTCCTGGGTATTTGTTCTGGATTATAATAATTCAAACAGGCTACCAAAGTACCACAACATAAATTCCAACTGCTTTACGGAGGGGAATATATTTCATCTCTGCCTTCGTTCCAATTTACTGGATGTGGAAAATGACATTGGCCTTCCAAAGTCTTAACTTATGTTTGGACCCTTTCCATCCCTGAGTCCTATTCTAGGGCTGCTGACCATTAAAGTGAATATTGCAGTGGGGCTGGAACAGTCTTATTAGCCTAAGCCAAGCTTTATATGGCTTGTGCACTTTAAGAGGTTAATCTTGCCAGCCAGCTCACTTTGTTCAGAAGTATTAAATGGAAAGACTGCAACATTCAAAGGAAGGCCAAGTTCACTGGGTAAAGACCCCAATAATATAATGGAGCGTAAAACCTCTAGAACTTTTTACCATAATGTTTTATGAGACATATGCACACACTCGTTGGAACAGAATCCAAGGCAAGTGGTTTTGAAGGTCAGTTCAAAGTCACCACATACGTACTATCTTTGTTAGAATTATGGACTATTTCAAAAGTGTCTGGACCCAGAAGCTTTCTTCCCCTAGTTTTTATAGTTTACTATCTGTCCAGCAATATACTATATTAGGGGGGAAAAGTCACCTACTATAGCATGATATTATTTGCAGCCAAACCAGAAAGCTCAGTAAAATATTCCAAATTTCAATACCAACAAATCCTTGGGTTAAAGAATGAAAAGTATCACAGGGTATAATTCTAAAAGGGAGTGCTACTTGAAGTAAGGGCCATAAGAAAAAAAACAAAAACCACACAATATTTTTATTCTCACCTTCACAACCAATTATAAAGGTGTTTGATGTTTATGGTTAAGAAAGGAGCAAAAAGACTCTCAATCTTTCCCTTTAAGAGAACTGTGGTTTAGAACTGGGCCTGATTAGAGCTACCTATTCTATTCCTATCATTCTGATGTTTCCAAAATGCTCAAATTGTAGGAGCTACTCTGATTCTCCTAAGGGGAAGGAAGTAAAGGTCCACTTTGCATGACAAAGGTCAGATTTCTGCAGGCAAATGAGACTCCATGGTTGACTTATTCCTAGGTTGTCACTGTCTGGTTGGGTCCAAAGAGGTCAAGAGAGGTTCCAAATTGTGTTCACTGCTTAAGGGACACCCCTGGGGCCACTTTTTAAAGGTCATAAAGATTTTCTTACTCTGGTTTCAGCTTTTCTCCCTTAAATCTTGCCAACACACACTGGTAATTCAGTACTGATGTGTGTTAAAAGGAAACTGAAAGAATTTAGTATTATATGCAGATCAAAAGTTAGAAAATCCACTTATTTAAGAACTTTCTTTAAATCTAAGATTTAGTTCAGTGATATTCAAGTAGACCACAGAGGATGATATTCAAGTCCCAACAGAAAAACTTGTCTTGATATATACACTAAATGATCAATACCACTACTCAAAATTACACTTAATATGATGTAGCTTTCTGCAAAAATTATACAGTCTCCTCAATCATCACACATGTTTAACTATGGTAAATTTTTATTACTTTCTTTTGTAATAACTCTTGGGTCACTAAAAAACAACAAATGTTGAACTGAAATTATTATTTGAATGTATTTCAATGTTCTTCCTTTTAGTACAAATATATATATAGCTAACTTTTCTCACAGTGGAGTGGAAATATACTCAATGAGTTATATTTATAAAATTCAGAAGAGTTCTGCCTATTGTAATTAATGAAGGGTATCTCTAAGTATTTTAGATAATGTGTGAAAAATATCTGTATTTAATTACATAATTCTTTTCTTAGATCATAGGAATTGAATTATGGAATATTCTGAAGCTCCTATAGAGATAAAAGTATTAATGGTTGTTCAATAATTCTATTGGTATAATGCTAGAAAATATCTGGTTTTACAAATCAATAGTCTGACCCTTCATAAGTATCAGATTTTCAATAGAAAAAGAAGAAACTTAAAATATTGGGCAAACATAGACACAGAAAATGTCTTTCATATCGGTACAGTTTTGAATGAGATTCTGTAACATATTGTGAACAGGATTTCTCTTTTGATTTTGTTGGGGATAAGAATGGCTAAGAGAATAAATTAAGAGCTTGCTATTCATTCTTTTGAGAGGAAAAATCCTAAACGGTTCTCATGGAAACAATGGGACACAAAGTATGGGTTTTTTGTACTTGTCCTACAGTATTAGAAACATCAGATTTTCTTTCTGGATGCTTACTGATTCCAAAGACCACTTCTTCTGCAGTCAGTTTTCAGTCTCCCAGTGGAAAGAATACATTCAAAGGCTGTGTGCACAGCAGGGTGGAAGGCTTTCTCTGTGAATGTAACTGTATCACTCATCAGTAACCTCCTGCCATAAGGGGACTTGTGTTTTCTTTCCTTTTAGTGACTCCATGGGCTCTTGAATGCCAGTCACTGCCCCGAGACCTGGGGCCATATTCACATAATCTCTGTCAATAGTTCTGCACAAGCCATTGGTGCAAGTAAATGTCAAGGCTGCAGATCAAAGACCGCACATTCTAAAACTCATGTCCTTTATGGATCGATTTTCATAAACTGAACTCTGTATTTTAGAAACACGTGGAGACTCACTCTTTGCTTTCTTCCTTTTATCTCAGAGACGTTTATTTATATAAAAGGCAATCTGATTTGTAGGTAATTGTGTTAAATTCTGATGCAATACATAAAATTAATTCTTCCCTTTGCATACCCTTATTGAAGTATTTTACTATAGCTATTGTTTTATAGTAGAAATGGTAAAATATTTGGGTTATTAAAAGAAAAAAGACATGGATTGCTTTGTAATACTGAAAATCCTTCCCAGTGCTTGGTACAATGGACATTAAGCAATACATTCTTACTCACGATTGATTTTTAAATCTTCATTTTGCTACAGGTAAATTATAGGAGAGAAAATAGCTTCAGCATGTGTTTTTACAATGTATATCCATTTAAAGTATTCAAAATTGCTTGGGAAAATAAATATAATTAGTTAAAGTCATTTTCTCTCCATGGATTTCATATACAAATTACACTGATCTATACTTCTTCAAGTAGACCTGAGTCAAATACAATGCACCAAATTATCTCCTATGAATACATGTTCAGATTACATTGTGGATATAATTTTTTTTTAATTCACAACTTTCTCTAAAGAGCCATATTTGAAAGAAATAACACAATTTTGAACAAATAGTACATGAATGCTATTTATGCTTCTATCTTGCTAAAGTCTTAAAATATATTTATTATAGAGGTAAGAGCATTTAACCTGTTAAATATGCACACACCAGAGGGCTCACAGAGGAGAAGGAAATAGTGAAACAAAGACAGGCTTTACAGCCACAGGGCTGTTGGCTAAATTCCAAGTAGAAGCTGCACTGTCCCAGCTCCCCAAGGCCCATTTTAACAGAATTGCATAAGGTTATTAGGTACAAAACTTACTCTGCGTTCTCTTGTGATCTGCGAGACATTAGGCAAGTCACTTACTCGGGAGGTAGCTTTGGCGTTATCTGTTTTCACCACTTAAACAACTGAAATGTAAGGTCTTTAAAACCCTGAAAAGAAAACTTTATTTTTCCCTTTTTTTGCAGTAAATGACTGAGGCTCAACGGAAAATCAGATAAATGGTGAAAATTACAGAGGTCCTCATTAGTGGGAAAGATCAGAATTTTCTGAAAAATCGAATTTCTATTCCCCTTAATGTGACCCTTGTTTGCTAAGAAGACAACCTGACTAAAATCCAAACATGATAAGCTTTGAAATTACAAAAGGTACTTCAATTTCAGATTGAATCAACTTTGTCACAACAGGTGTGTGTGTGTGTGTGTGTGTGTGTGTGTGTGTTCATGTGCGCATGCCTGTGGCCAAATGTACACTTGTTAATGCTGAGGCCATGGGGGGAGAGGGCATAATAGCTCTCTGATTCAAATCCTTTGACTTCCTTCTAGAGGCAAAATGAAAGTGCAGGTATGTGATGGAAGAACACTCACTCACCAGTTTTCCGAAGTGGGAAATCGTCCTTTGCATCTTGTGCTCCTGGTAATGTGTATTTGTAGTTCGGAGATGTCCCACTCAGGGGTGGAGAGCTTTGATCCAATGATGTATGGTGGGCAGCCCTAGAAGGGAAACAAAGGGGTCACCACGTGCACTGGAGTTTTTCCTGCATGTTGGTCAGCAATAATCAGTTGCACATGCTGTACACGTGTCTCAGCTGTGTTTATGTTCTTTCTTTTTAGTGTGTACAAACCACAGCCTCATGTGACCGAGTTCACGTGTGATGCAATGATTCGGGACTCCCAAGAATGCCCATGTGTGCCTGGTCACACCGTCACACAGCAGAGTTTGTTTTATCGAAGGAGAGAATTTACCACAAGCCTGCATTGTGATCATCTGAGATGACTGTGTGTGTGTTTTCTTAAGAGCCATACTAGTGAAAAAGTCATCATCCGAATCCTTTTCAGTCAATAATGTAGAATCACCAAGGTAAAAGCAATCACATGGAAACACTTCATTTTTAAAATCGCTAGCTGGTACATGAAAGTGCATGAGTTGCTTTTCTACGGAAAAGACAGCACTTGTGGCGGCCTCAGGTCTATTGACTTACAGTCCAAGGTGAAGACTAGGGACCGCTTCCTTTTTGAGTACAAAACTGATTTTTCAGATTGTCTTCTCTTTTCTGCATAACTTCAGGGAAAGAGATGGCATTGTGTGACTGGAGAGTAGTTTACAGGACTGATCACAGACTAGACAGTGGATGTAAACCTCTCTAATTTTTATGAATGAAGGAAACAACTGATAGGGCCTCTTATCACCAACAAGGTGGTTATTCTACTGGGATTCATCTGAACTGCATTCTCAAGAATGAACTGTCTTAAAGGTGTTTCACCTTGTAAAAAAAAGTATTGAATTCAGATTCCATAATTCCTAGAACTTTACCCAGCACCACAGGGCTCGGCTGGTTGGAACATTGTCCCGCACACCAACAAAGCTGCAGGTCCGGTTGCTGTTTGAATGGAAGGCAACTAAGATATTTTTTTTTCTCACTTTGATATTTCCCTCTCTCCCCCTTCCTCTCTCCAAAATCAATGAACATATTCTTGGCTAAGGATTTTAAGAAGTCTCTCTTCTTAATCTAGGCTTTAACTAAAAAAGAATATGGATTCCTTGTAAATTATATTTGTAATTTTAGGTGATAAAACTGCATTTCTTTTTAAAGACTGTGATGTTGATTGAACATTTGAAAGTTGTCTTTCTGGATTGGTTTCTCAAGTGAACTGACATACATGATAGACACTGTGATTATCACTATATTTAGACAGCACCTGCCTCTGTTACCTTTCTTGGGATGCAGAGAAGGGCAGATACTTATAAAAAATAAGTACAAAGGCCTTATATTGTAAATAAAATTCCTTGGGTGCTTACAATTTCATTATGACAGAGGAATCAAATATTTACTCCTTTATCCTCATGATGTGAGAGATTAAAAAATATGTAAGTGTAAAAATCCTATGGTCATCAAGCAAACATTTGTAAAACCAGAGAAATTAAACTTTTATCGATTAGTCTATTAGCTAGATATCTTCTGCCTGTTAACAGAACACCTGATTTTGAAAAACACCTCCCGCTTTATGTTTTGCAGAAAGAATTGGTACTATACAGTATCATTTTACTGGACTTGGGAAAACACGTCCATAAAAACTGCAATCCCACAATGCCTTACATGCGCACATGTGTCAGAAGCCAGTCTACTCTCCTTCACAGGGAGGGAAGAAACTGGGTGATGTGTGCAGGGGTAACGCAGTCACTGAAGACTTCGATTCATTTAGCTACCATCCTTCACTTTCTCTCCCTTCCCTTTTTATGTTTTAAATTTAAAAAAAAAAGAAGTCTGGACTTTTAAAAAATAGCTCCGCTCTCCATCTTCTATCAAGCCAAGTAAAATGAAATCTCAACCTGTCAAACGTTCAGAAATTACTGTAAAGATATCAGAGGCGCCGTCTGAGACTAGAAACATGCAAAGTATGGATTCATTTCTAGGCCCCAGCCCACGCTTGTCAGTTGACTCATCGAGGAAATAACATATATTCTTCCTGGCCTTCAAGATGTTACCCACTCGCATTGAGTAAGCCCTGCCCTCTGTTGCACACTTTACCGCGTTATTTCATAGGGCTCCCAGAGCAGGGTGAGGGGGCTGGTTCTGTGATTAGCCTTCATTTACAGAGAAGGAAACTGGAAGGTAGAGGATTGAAGAACTTGACCCAGCACCAAATGGCTGAGAACCCTCAAGCCCCAGATCGGGGCCCAGGTGGGCTGAGTACACAACCTGTTTTCTTTATCCCTGGGCAATGAAAACAACGGAACACTGCACATACGTGTACCAGAGCTTGGGATGGCGGCTCGCGGAATGATTTTTTCCATTAGTTGGAGTGTCTTTTGTTGCTGATTTACTCAACAGGAATTCTTGAAGCTTCTGCTTTACTTCTGTACTTGCCACTGCCCCTGTAACACACGCGGACAGAAACAGATGCTGGCTTAGAGCTGCATCCTTTCAATGCTTCTAAGGTAGTTAGCAAAATTTAAGAAGTAACACCACTGGTCACAGCATATGAAGTCTTCCTATCGCAAGAAGAAACCAGAGTCTACATGGGTGTTAGAAAATGGCATAGGAAGCTTTTGTAACTCCTAATTAAAACTGCCAATTTTCAAAAGACCTTCGATGATTTTCTTAATTGCTTTTGCAGAGAGGGGAGTCCTAGAGTTAATACTAACTTTTTTCTAAGCTTTAACTGCTGGGAAACTAAACATTGCCTTTTAAAAAAACCAAGAATCTCAGGGAACCCTGTAAGTGACTAAACGCATAAAAAATGATCTCTTTGAATCACTATTTTGAAAAAACAAACTTTTTTACAAAGCCTCTTTGGAGCATTAAACAAAGTAATCCTGCTACAATTCCAGTTCAACTCATCCAGTTCTAAACCTTGGGACACCCTGATTTTGAACTGACCTCATTGCAAGGGAATTATTTGGATCTGTCTCCCTCTTGTGGATAGCTTTTTTATTTTTGCAAATGTTCAGCCTTAAATCTTCCCAAGGTTTCACTACTCAAAAACTATATAGAGGCCAGACTGGACTCACAGAGCAATTATTACACGAGCCAGAGAAAGGTTATGCTTAAACCGTATGGCAGAGCTGAATTGCTTTACTGTAACATGGTTTCTGAAAATCAAAAAAGGGGAAATTAGTATATTTGCTGAACAATGCCTTTTCTTAAGCCCTGAGATGCTTTGCAGACTGGATGAGAGAGCTGACAGGCGACGCCACAGCTTTACGTTGGAGACTCTAATTTATTCTCATAGCTTAATGCAGGCAATCTTGACAAACTCAATTCCACTCTTTCTCAGGCTTCTTTCTGCAGGACGATGGGCAAAAGGGGAGGGGAGAGGGTCATCTTTTACCCTGGTGCCTCTTACTTTCTCGTCCTCTCTCTTTGCCTCTGAGAGGAGGAAGCTGCTGTTCTCTGCGATGCCTCTCTACTTCCTGTTCTTGCCTCTGCTGCTCCAGTTTCTGCTCCTTTTCTAGGAGTTCTTGTTGCTGTTTTATGGCTAGAAGTTCCTGTTGCAACTTACGAGAAGAGAAAGACATGAGAGTGTGCACTTTCTTTAAGCTTCATTGTTATCACTGACCAAAATCGAAATGCTGGGAGCCTTTTAGAACTTGCTTGGATTTAGTTGACATGTTTACCCGTTTTTTTTCTGATAAATTATTAAAGTCTAAAGGTGAGCATCGAATGCCATAGATGGTCTTTACATCATCCATAAGGTCATTTCTAGGGAGCTTCATGACCTGTCAAAAAGCATTACCAAATTCACTCAGATCTTTAGTTCTCTGAGTAGCTTTGCTTTGTCATCTGAAATATACAAAGCCAGGCAAAGGCAGGAACTGTCCAGAGTCTACTTTACCACTTCTCCCCCATTATAAATAAACAACTGAAATCTTCCATTCCTAACCCAGGAAATAGAATGAATATTAACTGAATAGAATGATGAGAAATGAGTTAATTTTTGTATACCTGAAAGAATCAGTGTTAAGAAATTCAAAACCTTACAGAGAAGGTTCTCAATGGATAAATGCAACCTATTGTTCACCACTGGCTCTTTTCTCATAACAGCAGCAAACCGAGCACACAAACGTCTTCAGATGAGAGAGACTGATCAGGAAGAAATCACTTCCATGAAACTGCACTTTAATGCACTGTGGTTTGCTTGCCGGCATCCCTTGATTTCATTTCCAAACAATGAATCACATGAATAGGAAGCATCCTTAATAACTGTTGCAAGATGTCAGCTTTCCCTCAGAGTGAGAATTTGATATCTATGAATAATAGGAAACATGCCCACTGAGGAATAAGTAAAAGACTGTGAGTTCTACTTAGATGCTGACGTTACCAGATACGCAATCTAGGCAACTTACTAAACTACACAGAGCCTTGGTTCCTCTTATATAAGACAGAGAAATAACTGCCCTCACACATCATGCTCATAACGGACATGAAATTTAGTCTGTAAGTTTGAACCGTACTACTTTTAATTATTATCACGATTTTTAACTCTCGATTACAGTGACGTTATATGCTGTTTATATCAGGGAGTGACTCAAAGCCATGAAATGTATGATCAGAAGTAACAGAATAAAAATAAAAAGCACTTTGTGGAATGGCAGCATTAGGCAATGTATTAAACTATGATAGCATCACCCAAACAAGAAAGATAGGGTCAGAAGCATTTCTGGGTACTCTTTGTATTAAATCTTAGTCATTTTGGCTTTGCTATATCAATGCTTTATTGTGTGTTTTTAGATATTCTGTTGTAACAGAAAAACTCAGAACTTTGCTAAAATTCTGCCTTGAATATTAATTCTGTACAGATATTAGGATTGGTTAAATAGATTCAGTTCTTCACCCAAACCCCAATAGAACTGAAATTTAATCTATCTTAGAAATCTAGAAAGGCTCTAAATTTAATTTCCATAGCCACCATTCATTATTGAAGACTGTAGGAATAGGGCTGAGGGAAAAAAACAACAACACAAAACAGAAATAAAATGTAATCCCTCCAGTTTTAGACGTTTTGGTCCAGGGGATGGGCATGATGGGGGCAGCTTTAAAGACAAACAAGGCAGGACTATAAATATTGGACAACATGAGCCACTGTCTGTGTGGCCCTGGGCAGGTAAAGAGTATTTCTCTCTGCCTCCGTTTACTAGGTAGAAAAATGAGATATTAGCATCTAACTCAGCAAATGTTTATTACAGAAGCCATGGACTCAAGTGCTAACATAAAGAAAGCCTCATAAATGTCTTCCTCATTAAAATCAAATCAAAACGAACGCTAAAATCATCAACTTTTAGCTTTACCCATAAATAAATGGAAAACAATAACAATTTTCAAAAGCAAAAAACTTCTTAAATGTAAAATTGTATGTCTACGTTCAGTTTCTGAGAAAACAACTTGTTGTCTTGGAAAATAATTTTTAAGTTAAATTTTCCTTTAGCTACCGCAGAGTTACTTTTTCTCCCAAGAGCCTCTTTCTAATATTTTCCAGGTGTCAGTAAACCTACCAGATTGCTTTGCTTGGGCCAAATCAACAATTAATTACATACTTGCTACTATTGGTTTTTGAGTAAACTGAAACAATAAATTTGTTTAAAATGTTATATTCATGTTTACAATTACAAAAGACATCCAACATGAATGGAAACAAGTAACTGTACCTGAAGTAGGCAGGACTTATCAATATTGCCCTGTACTTAGGCAACATGACTCGCCTATCAGAGCAGAATGAACCACACAGATACCTAAACCTTAAACGATGGCAAAAACCATACATTTTACTCATCATGATTGCCATCTGAATGTGCCTCAAATGATGAAGGAGATCTAAACATCATTGTTCCTATTATTGTTTCAAAGGTTAAGTCATAATGCTTCAGAGTCATTAAAAAATAAGTCTATAAACTAAATGAAGGTCCTATTATTACAAAATATAGCTATGCATGACTGATTCCATATGAGACCCCAAACAAAATCCTCTCTCTTAATCTTAAACTATCCTGTAGATCAATAAATTGTAATAATTCATTTAGTAAAGCTCACTGGTAAAAGAAAAACTTTATTATGGCTTATATTATATGTTGAAGAATGTTATTTTGGAAAATAAGATAAAATAGACCTTTCAGTTTAAGGAAATATCCTATAAAATAAGGGACCCAGGAAAGAAGAGAGCATTTTAACCTTTCAAGACACTGTAATATTAATGTGGTAAAATGGTATAATATTAATGTAGTTATCTATATTAACTCCATAGAAATGTGCTGTTATTTGATATGTGAGTAATAGGTTGAGCAATATAATTGATCATATTAATAAAATAACATATTTAAGTCACTTTGAAGGAATTGAACATAATATGAATATTTTATTATAAATACTTGCTGCTGTAGAGTTCTGTCATAATACATTCAAATGAGACCTCTATTCAATCAGACCAAAATAGTTTTTTTTTTAAATGTCTTTGTCAACATTTTATAAACAAAGCTAAAGTAATACTTATTCCTGAAGATAAAAGGGAAAAAATAGGTACACAGACATTTAAAATAACCTGACAAGAAAATAACCCATCATAAAAAATTATGGGACATGGACCTATTTCTCCTCTTAGAATAATTTAAACAACTTGAGTCTGAAATTGTCTACAACTGCCAAAACTCTTTCCATAAATTATAATCTGTAGTCCATTAGACTTGAAAATACTGAAAATATTTGTATCAGTTTCTTCATAAAATTCTCTTGAGCTTTTACTGTTTCTAATGTATACAGTATGAGGTCTTTTTCATAAGAAACATTAGGAGGAAAATAAGTGACTTTCTGATAAATAATATAAGCAGATTCTTTATAAATATATAAAATGAACCTTCTGAGGCTAATGATTCTTACTGGTGGAGAATAGATGAGGCAAATGTACAAAATCATGCAATAGAGAATTTTAAAAAAGGGTGGGAGGCTACTATTCCCTACTATTGATGCTGTACACTAAAGGATGAAGAGTGGTAGAGGCCCCTTTAAGAAGCAAAGCAGAGGTTTAATTAGCCTTCCTAGCACTTACCAAGGTTTCCCCCAGTGCACCCACCATTTCCTCCAAGCCCTACTGGCATGTGTAAACAACAGGGAACCACCCTCAGTGCTTCTTCTTCCACCCAGGACCCCCTGAGCGCAAAGGTCAGAGGCAGGGAGACATCTGCTACCTTGATGTGTTCCTGAAGCTGGGCCTGGTGTTGCCGGGTCAAGTTCTCATGCTGCTTCTGAAATTCGGCAATCAGGAGCTGCTTCTGGATCTGCTGCTGTTGCTGGATGAGGAGTAGCTCCTGCTGCAGCTGCTTCTCCCGGACGACAGGGTCCACCACGGGCATCATCATCCTGAGGTCTGTCCGCAGGTCTAAAGGGGAGATGGGCTCCAGGCCCACAGGGACCTCTGACTTTACATCCACTGGAGAAGCGGGGAGAAAGGAAAGGATGATAAGAGATGTGTCTGTGTCCAAATCAGCGTTGAACATAGACAAAAAGGAAGACACTATACCCATGCAACAAAATTTACACCAACAAATCTAGTCTTTTTATTTTCCCCTCAAAGATGATAACAGGTCTTTTGTATGTCAATTTTGATAATATGTACCATATGCTAATTTCCCCCCAGCTATTGGTACTCTGCCTTGAATCGTCCACATTTCCCCAGTGATTCCAATCATTTAAAGGCATCTATGTCGTTCATAAAACGTATTCTCCTGGATCACTTACAAAGGTCAAGTTAACTTAGGACCCAAAATGCAACTCTTCTGAGGAAAGGAAGTCATGTTTTAATAGAGAACATCTAGCACAACCAAGCTTGAATGTTTGCAAACATGTTTGTTTGTAACTAGAGTCTGAAGATAGAATCTAAGTTAAAGCTTTTTACATAATGTGGGATATTGGATCCACAGAAGAAAAACACAAATCTGCATGCTGAAATGTGGGACATGGTGAGCAGAGTCGTTAATCAACCTTGGCAAGGAAGCCAAGGCCAGCCATGAAGGAATGAAAGCAGCCAAGTTTCTCTATGCTGGTTTTTATTTATTTTTTAAAATATATTTTTATTGGTTTCAGAGAGGAAGGGAGATGGGGAAAGATAATTATTGATCTGCTGCCTCTTGCACACCCCACTTGGGGATCAAGCTCACAACCTGGGCATGTGCCCTGACCAGGAATTGAACTGTGACCTCCTGGTTCACAGGTAGATGCTCCACCACTGACACACACTGACTGGTCTCCGCGCTGGTTTTTAAATGGTGATGTTTTATATGGTAATCATCTTACTCCTAAAGTAAACAAGGCATAGTAATTTTTTAGGATGCTTAGAACAAATATTCAATCAAGTAATGAGATGAAGAAAGATTGAATAATCTGAAAATAACTATAGACATTTAGATTTATAAAAATTTATAAATAATGTGTATAAAATTCTTAGCATACTTCTATGAGATAACTCCCAGGAGTGGGATAAGCATAGGATCTCAGACAGGGCAGATATGCAGATATGCCAGCTGCTCATGGCTGGCATCCATCCTAATTAGTCAGTGTATATGCCAAACTGGTTGTTAAATATTTTGAATATGACCTTTGGCCACAGGAATCAAGAAAAGTATGTAATTGAATAAAACAGATGTAGATGAAAATAATAGGGATTTTGGAGGGAGAATGTAGGCCAACTGAACAGCATGTCTTTGCTAAAGTGGTCAGCCACTACTGAGACCCAAGTAATTACTGGTGGAAAAAAACAAAGACAGTTAATACATATCCAGAGCAGAGAGAAATCAGTTTAAAATAACATATCCCTAGCTGGTTTGGCTCAGTGGATAGAGCATTTGCCTGAGGACTAAAGGGTCCCAGGTTTGATTCCAATCAAGGACACATGCCCAGGTTGCGGGCTTGATCCCTAGTAGAGGGCATGCAAAAGGCAGCCGATTAATGATTCTCTCTCATCACTGATGTTTCTCTCTCTTTCTCTCACTTTCCCTTTCTATCCAAAATAAAATATACTTAAAATAAATAAATAAAAATAAAATATTTTAACATTATGGGAACAAGAAAACAAAAACAAAAAAGCTTCTATAAGTAAACTGTGACATGCAGGCTGCCTATTTTCAACCTCTGATCTAAAAAATCTAAATTCCTATTCCCATCCTACCTGTGACCATAAGTTCTCTAGGCCTCAGTTTCCTCATATGTACAATGGAGATAATTACAGCCAAGAATAACACAGAGTTGTTAAAACGATTAAATTGGATAATTCACTAAAAGACTTACAACATTGCACATCTCTCAATAAATGCTTTTGGTTTCTTCATTTACATAAAAATGGTAATTTCCTGTATAGTAAAATAAACAATCAACACTGTGTAGTCACAAAACAAAAATATTAGGAGCAAGTATAAAAATAAAATTGTATATGAGTTGTTACATATTAGAAAATAAAAACACCAAAACTTCTAGGGAATGAAAGAAGATACCATGGGAATCTAGATAAGCAACTCAAAAATGTCACCTTCACTAGAAAAGCAAGGCAACTTTTAAGTCAAAATAAGGCATCGTTTTCTAATTATTAAATATCAGACATATGGTTGGTGTATATGTGTGTGTTCTGTCCCATTGTAAGCATACAACAAACTAGACAACTATAAATTATAAAAGACACTGCCAATTGGTTTACAACTTCTGAAAAAAACCACACAATTTGTTAATGTATATTAAATATTTCTGCCATTTGATTCAGGTTTGCCAACTCTAGGAATCTATCTTAAGAAGATAATACTAACAGGAAGAAACAGTTCAATGCTGTTTATTGAAGTGCTATAGCTTTTATTAAAATCGCCAACTACAAGGAAATGTCCAAGGAAAATATGTCATATCCATTAAGTGTAGAAGTATGCAATCATTAAAAATGTTTATAGGGACATGAAAAATGTTGTTATAGCATTAAATGAAAAAAAAAATCCACAGTAATAAAAGTGAAGTATACCCTATGATATCTCTTTACACTAAATAAATAGAATTTTATTTAGTCAATATTATTGAGAACTATAAATTGCCAGACATTATTGCAGATGTTGGGGTTTACTAGTAAAACAAAAAAGACAAAATACCAACCCTCACAGAGCATATCACATCTACTAGGATTTTAATTATATTACTCTCTGAATTTTAACAGCAAAGACTTGTGAAATGCAGTGTAGAAGATGGTTGTAGTAGGGGTGAAAATATGAATACTTTTTCTCCCCATTCTACTTTTCTATGTTCTTCCAAATGGCATCTAATGCTCTGACCACTTCTGGAGATAGATTTCCACATTCCAGGTTGGGAACCACAAAGTTAATATTCCATGCGATTTAAGAGCTATTTTCAGAGAGTTGGGAGAGCCAAATAGAAATCCCATCTACAGAAGTTAAGCTGCAGATCTAAAGAAATATGAATGTCCTTGCTTATCTTTTGATTAGTGTGCTCACAGGCATGTGTGAGTACCTGTGAGTGGGGATCGGAGTGGGGACAGTGTCAGTCTCAGGTTGCAAACACTGGTTATTCCTGCCTCCCCCTCCCCCAATGTATTGATCAGAAGTTTATGTTGATGGCTACACTACTTTAATAACAATGGTAAATGACTCATTAATAGGCCATAGTTTGGTAGACAATGTCTTTTAAATCATGATCTATGTGAAATGAAAGCTATTAAAAACGAGCCAAGTTTGAAACTAAATGAAGATGATGGCCCATCAGATCTCTAAATGCAGAGTCCAATGTGGAACTTTCCTTTCAGGCACTGGAGTAACATGAGATTTAGAGCATTAATTTATAGAGTTGGCATAATTCCAACCAAAAGCAAAGGATGTTAATGATATATTTCATTTTTACATGAAAAAGGCCAAACTGCAGCCTCCAGTTTTTTCCATGAAAATGCCAATAAACAAAAATCAGAATCTAACCCTATCCAGTGAATGAACAATTTCAAGAGACGCTGTGGTCTCTTCTTTTTGGTATTCTTACTACCTATGAACTATAAACATTGAACCCCTAAAAAAATCATCCCGTTTCCCATCCCACAAAAAAAGATAAGGAAAAATGTACCAGAATTCTCTAAAAACAGCTATTGTAAACCTCAAAGGGTAATTTGACTTCTTAACCTGCTATCCCAACAGAAATGATTGTGCCTAACTGCTTGCCTTTGTTCAGAGACTAATCACTAAATTGTGAAAAATCACCCTCAACTTACAAAAACTACTCTTGATTATAAATAATTGCCCAAGACTGAGAGAAAGCGGCAGGCAAGATCCCAGTCTTTCATCCAATTTATTCAGCAGCAATCCACATTCCATTTGTCTAGACTAAATATAGCAGCGTTTATACAAGAAATCAATAGTGCTTGCAGAGAGGAGAGCGAAGGCATGAATATTTCATCAAACTCGGAGAGAAATGGCAATCAGCAAACTGATGGTGCTGTATAGGTCATCTTTGGCCTGCTGGATTAGTGCCTGCTACTTGGACAATAGCTCATCTCTGGCTAATCATAATCATATCATAGCCATTCTTTCTATTTTTAACATTAATTGCACTGTGGGTGACAAAGGCTCATCGTATCCCAAAAGGGATGATGGATTTTTCCTGTGTCTTCTATGACAGGCTAATAAGCCTCCCCAGGAGCAATAACAGTAACGCAATGCCAGGACTGAGTTTTAACAAGTTACAGTCCCTTTCATATCCCAGAATGCGAAAGAAAGGCCATTGTCCGCAGCTGCTGCATTATCATAATTAGAAATAATCAACTTCCAAGGAAAAATTAACCACCAATTTTAACAGTGGGAACACGGAATCATCCCTGCTCACACATTGCTTGTCTAGGAACATGCCAATGCCTTACAAATTACTTAGAACAGGTGGCCAGTGATACATAAATTAGAAAGAAGCTGATGACAACAAATATTAGTGTTAGCGTTACTTAGAAATGAATCGTGTTTTCTTAACAGATCGCAAGACCTTGTAACTTCGTTTGAACTTACCCAGTTTGTCTGACAGTTCAAATACACGCCAATGTGTTACATTTTATGTAATTATCCTAATACCAAATCTCCATTCAGAGCATTTCCACATTGGATGTTAAATAGTTTTAAATACTGCTTTACAAAGTCCTGGTCATTCCTTCTTCAATGTCCTTTCAATTGTTCTTTGCTAGTTCTTTGGTTCAGCACTTAGTTATTGATTTCATGCAATCCTTTGAAAAGCTTTTAGTTTTGAATAACCATGGAGACAAAAGGCTTCCGTTTCAAAATAAAAATTTCAGACCATACAGATGTTTATAACAATTACATTTATTTAAGCAGCACACATACATGTGCAGCCATAATGAAATCTTGGTGACAAATGCTTTTCTTGTAAATGCCACAGCTGTTCAAGAGGCTAATTCAG